CATATAGATATATATTACTACTACCATGCACTACTACACACACACACACACACACACACACACACACACACGAATACTCTGTCTTGTTGTTGTTACCAATTAGTTGCTCCCCTTAACTTCACTGGCCAGGTGAGTTAGATGGGGGAGCGGGGGGGAGCCAGGCTTCTGCCGATCTGGATCGTTGCTCCCATGTTGACAAGACGAGACCCGGGGTCCTCTGCAAGACATCTCACTTTTATAGCAGCTTCTCTCTCATGCAAATCTGTACCAGATTCAAAATCTGTGTCTGTGTTCATTGGTCCTTTGTGCTGCTTCCTTCTGGGTGTTGTCCCAATGCTGCAAAGAGGGTATTTCCAAAAGAAGGTGCTTGCTTCTAACCCCCGACGCCCTCAGTATGTCTGCTTTTCTTTAATGAGCCCACTTGACAAGTTTTATTATCCTTGGGTCTGGCTTCCATCCCCTCTCCAAGGGTTGCAGTTGTCTGGAGGTGCTGCCTTCCAAGCCTTTACTCATTCACACCTCGTTCATTCAACAGGGCAATTGATTAAGAGTGGGAGGGGGGGAAGATCTTGTTCTACTGGTAGCAAAAAGACATTTTTCTTCTACTTTAACTATCCTTAGGGGCTATAACATTATACCAAGGCTTACCACAAAGTTTCTACATGAGGCTTTGATATAAAGTTTCCATACACCAAGGCTCATCAGTACAAGGTTTCTATATTAGGCTTTGATACAAAGTTTCATGAAAACAGAGGTCACATGTGGGTAGACCGACTACAAGGTTATATGAAGAGGCACAATGTAAAGTCATATGAAAATTATCAGAGATTTATCTACATGGTATCCGTGGAATCCTGGGGGTTCTCCCAGGCTGCCTGATCGGTGTTGGGAGCCTTAGAGAGGCCAGCGGCCTCGGTATCCCATTCCCCTCCGGTGCGCGAGGCTTCAGCCCTCCAGGCAGCGTCCAGTGCTGCTGATGCTGCTGTCCGCACCATGGCTTCCGCTATCTCCATGCGGTGAGTCTCTTGGCTGCTCCTCTCTGGGTTGTTCACCCAGCAGTCATTGCAGGACCTGCCCTTCGATGGCAGGGCCCTATTTGCAGAGCAAACAGACAGCAAGTTGCATGGCCTTAAGGACTCCCGCATAACCCTGAAAACCCTGGGTCTCTACGTCCCAGCCCCGGTGCGTAAGCGATTCAAAACACAGCAGCCTCAGGGCCAGGGGAGCCAGCCTCAGCAGGACCAGCCCCATAAATGAGCCAAAGGTTACAAGTGCCACCCGAGCCATTCGCCTCCACTCGTTGGGCTCCACCCCATAATAAGCCAGGGGCCAAACAGTCATTTTGACGGTGCGCCTGAGGGCACCCTACCAGACTATTCCCCGGATCCATCTTTCCCAGTGTTCTCCGACTGCCTTTCCCCTTTCCTCTTGGCGTGGACCGCTATAACTTCGGAGCGCTGGGTCCTCAACACTGTGGAACGGGGTTATACCCTCCAGTTCCTTTCTACCCTCCCTTCCCACCCGCCTTCCCCATCCCTTTTCAGGGACCCCTCTCATAAGAGTCTCCTCGCACAGAAGGTAAAAGGATTACTACAGCTGGATACAGTGGAAGAAGTTCCTTTCGAGTACAGGAACAAGGGGTTCTATTCCCGGTACTTTTTAATCCCAAAGGCCAAGGGCGGTCTGCGGTCCATTATGGACCTGCAAGACCTC